AACCACGAGGTTGGGCGCAAAGCCCTGTGGTAAACACAGCCAGTTAGTTTCTATGGTTTCCTCCTCTGCCAGCTTGAGATGCTTCAGTCAGCTGTTATCTGATTGGTTGCACATTAAAAGGTCAACAGTAACTAGGTAAAAATTGAACTAATTTGAACTTTGAACACAGCGCTGTGCAACAATGTTGAACAGTGCGCGACGCAGACACACGTGCGTACATGCGCAAGTGTTTTACATAGTACAGTTTGAATGTAAATGCTTGTGTTTGGGAATTAGTGAGCATAGAAGTGGATAAATGAGACCTGGATTATACTACTAAGTTTGAAAACGGATGTTTTGCTGTTGTTAAAGGCGGTCCCCATGCCTCTACCTGAAATACCTCCATTAGACTACTTTGTTAACATCTGTAACATAGTGACATCACTACGTAACATTCACAATTCTATTGGCTAGCGCTCTGACCAATTGTACGTGATATGATAAGGTGCTAAGTGGTTGACCATTCACAACAGAGCCGGCCAGCTAACCAATCAGAGCAGACTGGGCTCTGGTTTCAGACAGAGGGTGAAAAGAGGTGCTGCGGCACAGGCAGGATGAGAAAAATAAAGAGCTATTTGAACATTCAGAGGCACAAAATACAAATATGACCCTGTAAATTAACATAATATGTCCTCTTCAATCCATCAAGAAGTTCCCCTGCTTTTGAACCCTTCGTTGAGCGTGTAGGCATGCAAGAAAAGTTTCCAAGAATTCAAAATATCGCACGATGTGTAATTGATATACAGGATTTTAAGCAGACCTTTCTCATTCATAAAAACGTGAAATGTGTGAAATGCTGTCATATTAGAGGACTGGATGAAGGCATTTGTGGTATAAAGAACAACACAAAGCCCAAATAGTTTATTTCCTTTTCATTCAGGCTTGAGTTGCTCTTTGTAGCTTGTGCTGTCTGGACAATCTGTGTTGGATATCTGAAGTCTAAACAGTCGGTGTTTGGTGTTCACCGAGGCTGGGGGGCCTGCGGTTTAACACTTTCAAGAATCACTTTGTGGGGCGGCATCGTAGGGCAGCCTCAAGAAAACCTGAAATAGCTGAAACTAGACCTTTGTGCAAATAATCACCCTGGGCCTCTGTAAACCATCATGTTTATGCTTTGTAAATTGTGAAAAGAAATGCTTTAACATTGTGTGGCATGTGTATTTCAAGGCTTTGAACATTGGATGGTATCCGAATTTCACCCACACAACCACAGGCTTTTGCTCTCGCCTTTTGACTGAAATATCATTCAGATTCCAAAGGGACTAAAAAAAACAACCTTTTTTGAGGCTGCCTGAAGAATGTGTCTGAAACCGTTCCCAAGCTGCTTCCATGGCTATCACTGCTGCGGGGTCAAACATCTTTCACCAACTTCTTTTTATTCTAAGTTTGGTGACCATGCATTTTTTAAATTACACAACAGGCTTAGAAATGTTTGTCTGAGTATTCACTTCAAAATGTTCTAACTCCATAGAGTGCATATTATAATCCTCCTTCAAACTTCAACAGTGCCGCTTATATAAACACCCAGTGGAGCATATTTAGATGTTGCATCAACCTCTCTTCCACCTTTTGAAGGAGTTTATAAGAAAGCTTCTTGGCAGTAGTGCAGTCGCCACACTGGTTGTCTCTTTCCTTTCCTGTAATTCACTTCATTTGCAACACACCTCCTCCTTTCATCTGTGGTTTTGAAACCTTGCCTCAAAACCTGTTTACCCACTGATTCCTTGAAAAAGACAGGGAACAGTCTGGGTGATGTCATGACACATACAGACAAAGATACACCCACTCCTTGGATCATCAACAGGTTTTATTACCTCCAGTTTGTCTCAGGCTCAGATAAACTGTCACAGATGTCTCATGGATTTGTTGTACCTTGAGCTCCTCTCCTTGAGCATACTTTACTTTTAGTAATTACTATTAGTGTATCTGTTGAAATAGATACCTCCATAGACGTTTGAAAACAGATGAGACTGAGCCACATGCATTGTGTCCCCTTACTTTCAGTTGTGATGGTTATAAAGCCTATATGGCATCTAACGTTTCAGACCTTTGTCTAACTATCTAATAAAGAACATTGTGTATTTCAGATTAAATCAAAGTCATCTGACATCCATGTAAAGGGGACTTAACCTCGCTCTGCTGCGGTGCTTTCTATTTTGATGTCAGTAAGCATATTGGATACAATCCTAAGGGAGTGCATGTACGTAGACACGTGTGCCTCTCAACCTCTGTTCCTTACTTCTTACTTGCTACCCCTTTCCCTCAACCTATCCTAAGGGAGTGCATGTACGTAGACACGTTAGTTTTGCTGATATAGGCTTAAGACTGTCGGGGGACACCTTACTTCTTCCTTCTGTCTGTCTGTACCTGTGTACTCTCATGTTCCGAATAACCCATCTTCCCCCAAATGTCTTTTTGTTGTCTATCTTTGGATCCTGAGTCGTGGCTGATCCTGTTGCTGCGGTCCTGTGTCATGGATCCTGAATCATGTGTCCTGGATCCTGCATCCTGAGTCCTGGATCCTGAGTCCTGGATCCTGAGTCCTGAATCCTCTATCCTGAGTTCTGGATCTGAGTCCTGGACTTGGAGTCGTGGCTGAACCTGTCCCTGCGGTCCTGCCTGACTCTCATCATACTACTTACCTGATGGCTCCCACAGGATTGTTGACATCCTCGTGGATTCATCTTATTATTATAGACACATGCATTTCCAAACATTTGGTCTATATGTTGTGAATGCATTATCTCTTCAATTTACACACGGCATCTATTGCACGTCTGTCCGTCCTGGGAGAGGGATCCCTCCTCTGTTGCTCTCCCTGAGGTTTCTCCCATTTTTCCCTTTAAACTGTGGGTTTTCTCTGGAAGTTTTTCCTTGTACGATGTGAGGGTCTAAGGACAGAGGGTGTCGTATTGTCATACTGATATTCTGTACAAACTGTGAAGTCGACTGAGACAAATGTAACATTTGTGATATTGGGCTATATAAATAAACGTTGATTGATTGATTGATAGTACCACTAACCTATTACGTCATCCAAAGCATGGCACTACTGGACTGAGCATCGGCTAATAATGCTTGCGCTGTTAAGCCATCAGAAATTAAATATATAATCAAGTTTATCATCAGTTTCTACAGTTTGCCTGATATTGAGTTTTTTTATATTGATATTAATGGGATCGAACATTATCTGTTGCTTTGGGAGAAACCAACACAATTTGATAAATCAGCCCAAATGCACTGCTATGAAACCAACTCTGGATTTGTAATAATGTGTATTATTGGGATAAGTTGTTGTCCCTAAAACAAAGGACGGGCCGGAAAGGGCTCCCAGACAAAAACAGTTTACATGACAGGTACAACAGGCGTGTCAAGATCTTAAAACGCTCCAGTCCTCTCCTATGCCTTTGATCTTTCTGCACACACATAAACACACATTCATACACTGCAGAGCACATGTATGTGCTTACACACGGCCAGGTGAAATCCTCCCTTTTTTGTGAAGCAGGGAGGTGATTTATATCAGCCAGAAAATCAAGAAGGGTGACATTTTGGAACCTCTGAGCTTGAAGGGGGCTTTGAGAGGAACTATGATCAGTTATGTCCGTGGAATGTCTTGGCAGGAACGTTGAGCGCTCACCTCATGTATGTAGCTGCTGGTTGTAGTAGCTTGTGCATTCCTGTTCATTTGACAACATGCAGCTAGTATTTATTTTAAACGCTCAAGTGTGTGCCATATCACAGATTATCTTTCCGGTTACAGCCAGCAAGAGAAACCGCTTCAGTAGTCGTGTGTTATTCAATTATCAAGCCAATTGTAAGCCAGCTTTTTAGAATTTGCATAAAGGTAATATTTCATTAACTGGCTTGGCGCGAACTTGTCTAAGCGTATTTTCGTCAGAATTAATAATAATAATAATAATTTCAATTTCTATAGTGCCTTTCACAAAACCCAAGGACGCTTTATAATGGGAAGTAACACACAAAAAAAAGTCAGCAGTATAGGCAACTAAGAACTTGTGGCCTTAATATTACAGTAGATAAAATAGAAAAAGTAGAGGTTTAAATAAACAAGTCTCCTTGGCTACCCATCTGAGACAAGAATGGGGAGAGCTCTGGTAGCTTTGGTACGTTTTAATTGTTCTATCATGTCAGCTAGTAGTAGTAGCACCAGTTAGTGTCCACTGTCATGATTCTAATGCATGGCAAACAGCTTATCAATTATTTTAGTTCAAGAGGACATATACTGCTCATTTTCAGGTTATTTGTATTATGTGTCTCTGCTGCGACATGTTTACATGCTTTAATGTTCAAAAAGCTCTTTTTTTTCTCATACTGCCTGTGCAAAAGCACCTCTTTTCACCCTCAGTCTGAAACCAGAGCCCAGTCTGCTCTGATTGGTTGGCTGGCCGGCTCTGTTGTGATTGGTCAACTACTTAGAGGTGTGTCTGAAGTGTCGCGCCCCTTAGCCCATTGCGTACAATGTGTTGGAGGGATAGCCAATATAAATCTGAGTCTTCCCTAGCAATGTCATTATGTTAGGGAAGTAAGTAAGAAACTCCCTCTGGAGGGAACACAGGGATCGTAGTCGTTGCAGACCATTTACATGCACAAAAAACGATATTACAGGAAAGGAAAGCCCCTCCGAAATATAATAGGGCCCCTTGAAATATTTGGTAAAAGCGGTTCCATTACATATTCAACACATCGACCAGTTTTACACAAATGCATAAAACACCCGAAGTAAGCATAAGAACTTTTACGCATAATTTAGGTTCTTTTATTGACTTTATTTTTGTTTTCATACAGCTTTACTACTACAATACTTCAAAATGCAGTTAATATGTTAATAAGAAAAAGGCTGCTGTGTACCTATAAATGACACAGCTTGGTAAAAAGTTATAAAGCAGGAGAGGATTTGTAATTTTTAAAATAACCACTTGTATGTTTGTTTCTTGCAGGTGGGGGCTAATAGTTTGGAGGAAACAGAATAGAGCTAGCATTCAGCAATGGGTAAGTGCATGTTTATCTTTTTAAAACCGGGTTGAGTTTGTTATTAATATGTTGGAGTATTATTGGCTGCCACTGTCAGTCAAGCTCTTATACAATTAATCTGATCATGTATTCTAATGAAAACCTTGTTAATGGTACATGTATAAATGTGTAGTATTCACGCTGTTTTTTGGCTTTACATGAGGCCATACAGTATAGATCGTTGGCACGTATTAAAGGTCCTTAACAGGAATTGAACCCTTGGTGCTGAGATTACATTTGATGCTGTCAGGAATAATTCCCTATTGTTGTTGTCCTGCTATAGACACTATCTTCAGAAAGAAAGGGTGATTCTGTTTTTTCTTCTCAAATAGGTTTCTGAGATCAAGCATCATAATAACATGGCAGGAAGATTACTCTTTAGACTTTAAGGAGATAAGAACATTTTAAAGTCATTTTTTAATAAGACAAAAAAGAGAAAAACATTCAAATGATGATCAAAGCAGCCATTTGTAACTATCCATCACAGCTTTCAGGTTTCTTACAGACCTGTCAGTAAGGAAATGTCCTCTTTGAAGTGATGTAGCGTTGTCCCCAGATCTCAGCAATTTGGAATTATAATTAAAATGATCAAATGTCCAGAACTATGACTATAAAACAACACACACACACACAGGCCCTGAGCTCCAGCTGCCCAGGGCTCTAAAGTCACGTTGTCCCGGAGTGATTGAAGGTCCAGCTGGTAGAGCAGCCCTTTTGATCCCTTTCTCTTTTATGAGAAAGACAAACAGCTCCTCGTCGTCACCCACACTGCAGTGATTGATACACACACACACGTTGTGATCACAGTTAGGCACACACATGCATGCACGCATTCAGATGGTGATCACAGACAGCCACACACACACACACACACACACACACACACACACACACACACACACACACACACACACACACACACACACACACACACACACACACACACACACACACACACACACACACACACACACACGCACACACACACACACTTGGGTTTTCTTAATAGATGCCCTCTCTCCCACTGTAATCACTCTAATGACCTCCTTGAACTCTGAATAAAACCCAGAGGGTGAAAACAAAAGGGGTAGAAAGGGGGTGGTTCATTATGCAGTCCGTTATTATAACGATATATATCATTATGTGTTCAATTTATTGGTTTAAATCGTATTTATATTATTGATTATGGGGTTAAAAGTTTAAAACTAACAATTCACTATGAATTGTATGATATTTTTCCATTCAATCTGCAGGGAGAGGGACAAGATTCTTGTATCGCAAGTGCTCTTATTTGCATTTTTAGTCTAAGTGACCTTGACCAATCACATTGGAGCAGACTTTGGTTGCAGGTAAACAGCCAATTGTGTGCTAAAGAAAAGGAGCACATTGACACATCAAAATGCATGGGGGAGTTAGCATCCCAATTTCTCCCTCATCAAAACACACTGGGATATTCCGCTTGGATTTGGGTAGATTGCAGAAAATATGTACATTCTACAGAAATAAAAAGCTAATGTAATGCTAAAAAAAAACTTCTTCACAGCATGACTGCTCATCACCACTGCTAAGCTAAAAGATGGACTTGTGTGGGCGTTATGACATTTAGTCGTTTATTTGGTCACTGGCCGTTTCATTGACACAAAGAGGATTCAGACATTCACCAGTGGGGTATTTACTGACGTTTGTAGAACAACATGTTAACATCCCTTCAGCGTGTGATAACCACAGACCTTATATTTCAGGCATTTAACCAAAAACATGAAGAAGAAAAAAACATTGAATTATAGACAAGGAAACCGGAAGTGGTAACATAGATAGATAGATAGATAGATAGATAGATAGATAGATATACTTTACTGATCCCAATTTTGGAAATTATTTTGTTACAGGAGCAGTGTGTTCAACATTAGAGTACAAATACTTAAAAAGTTCAATACAGAATTAACTATTACAAATGATATGAAAATGAATAATACTATAAACAATATAAACAATATAAAATATTCTGGATTATAAACTTTTTCTTTAGAAAATAAAAAATACTACAGGAGCATAGACATACTGTACATACATATGATAGTATATAATATACTAATAATACAGAAATTTGCAAATTGTTTTATGCTTATCAGAAGGAGAAACTATATTTTCCGGGTTTGATAACTCATTACTGCTTAACACAGCTGTTCTATTCTTCATAATACCAAGAGACAACCCAGAGAATTGAACTTCACTGATACAGTCTTTGCTTATTTTGGTAAATTGTATGTGTCCTTCATGTTAAAACTTCTGATCTAAATACAGTGTTTTTCCTAGAGAACAGCTACTATGATTTTCCTTGGTTACTTGCAATCCAAATGTTTCAATCTGCTTCCAGGTTGTGTGGTAGTTGTTGTGTCTGGCTCGGGATGAGCTGCGCTTGTTGTGTCTCTTTGACTTTCTTGTATCATTTATTTTCTATGTTACTGATGTGTTTTGTCTTGAGAAACTGAGCTTTCTTTTTCATTGTGATGTGAAAGGAATGTCTCTGTTTGGGACAAATAAAACACCATCTCAGCTTTTGCTATTAATTTATTACTTGTGTCTATTGTTAATCTATGGATCTAAGTTTAATTTTCTTAAAGAAAGTTAAAAAAGAAGGTCATATTATTCATTCTGTTGTCAGTGCTAAGGCTTTTTCTATTATCTCAGCTGACCCTGCTCCAATAGATGATGTTGATGATGATCAGATAAGCCCTCACACTGAAGCTTAATTCACAAATGTATTGTATACGTATGTCAATGTACATTACCTTGTGCTCAGAAGCATTTTGAAAGTTCTAAACTGATGAGTACATAATTTCTCCTTTATGGAAAAATCGTTTAAGAATAACAGCATTACATTCACAAAGATTATCATTTCCAGGCTAACGCCAAAGTAAAACGTTTGAAATCCGCCAAAATAACATTCCAATACAACTTAATTGCCTATTAAAGGAAAACAATGGCAAATCCTAAAAATGTGACATTAAACATTGTAAATGAAATCCATCAAAGAAAAATAATGCAACAAAAGTATATAATATGTTTAGGCAACAGAACTGCTTGGTCAATTCAGAAAAAGTGTTTAGTTTTTCATTACGAACACTTATATGGATCTAAAGCAGTTCATTCAAACAGATTTGTTGTCTCGTGTTTATTTTTTTGTCATTGATTGACACCACTAAATGCAAAACAGAAAGAAATGTGCTTTGATTTGCGGGCTAATACCCAAGCTGAATGTTTGAAGTTGGGATTTCCAGTGATTTACTATTTTAAATGGTTCCCTGCACTTCTCTCCGCCTTGGGCAAAGTAAGGGAACAATAGGGGGGCAACAGAAGAGAGAGAGGAGGGGAAGGGGAGAATGTGCTGCCGGATCTACACTTCCTGGGTCTCCGCTGCCCCAGAGGCATCTCGGGGCCTCCTTACATGGGAGCCTTTCCTACATGGGATTTGCATAAAACCGACATTGATGGGATCTCCCTGCAGCTAAAGTGCTAGGATACAACATGTAACTATAAACTGGGCACCTCAGAAAGATCTTCCGCCAAGAAAGGGTGTCATCTTTCTTATTTTTGACCACAGGGCATAAGGATGTCTAGGTCTGTTTTTAGACGAGGGGGTTTGTAATGATAATGAGGGTGACACTGCAAGGAGTCTCATACCTGCACATCTCACAGTGAATATATAGAAAATGCATGGGTGGAAGGGTGGGCAGGATGAAGGAGAAATGCAGGCAGAGACAGACTACAGATAGAGATAGAAATAGATAAAGAGTTGAAAATTCACTAAGGCGGACAGACAGAGAAACAAAGGAAAATCGACAAAGAGATATGGCAGTGAGGAGAAGGACATATGAAGTCAAAAGGACCGCGATAGAAACAGAAAGATGAAATGAATGAATTGAGATACTGTGAGAGGTCAGCTTCTTTCTCTCTTCCCTCCCCCTTTCTCTTACGGTAATCCCTCCAGTAGCAGTGAGCTGTTAGGCTCCTCCATAAATCAGCGTTTGTATGAAATACCAGCGGGAGCCAAAGGTCAAAGGAGAAAATTAGCAGCTGTCTTTTCCTCTCCTTTCATGTTAGCCGCAGGGCTAACCGCCAAGTGCGCCATCAGCCTCATTTCCACTTTAAAACAAACGCCCCGACAAGCTGGGGAGGAGCTGTTTGCCTGCTCTTACATTTTATGGCACTGGATTTTATTCTGAGAGGGAGAAGGGTGGGCTGGGAGGGTGGGGGGTAATCCTGATTTCTGTCAGCCCTCTCCTTCTAGACTGTTTTTCTTTCCTTCCACCATCCCATCCTCTTCAGGTGTGTGAGGGCAAACAGTGTCTCACACTGCTCTGTTGACACGTTTCAGCAGTGCAGGAGGAGCGATTTTACTGACACATTTGATAAATGAAATGTGAAAATCTCATCAGTTCGCGCTACACACAGACTTCACTTCTGACGTCTAACCACAAACATTTTCAAAAAAACGTTGAGAGAAGGAAACAGGAAGTGGTAAAATGCCAAGTTGTTTCCGGGTTTGAAGACTCATTCCTGCATCGCTATATTTAATCATTTGTTACTTATTGTTCCCCTTAAGTTTGTGGGAACTTAACAATAGGGCCATATCACTTTAAGTCTATGCTCCTAATCACAACTGAAAGCAGCCATGTTATTTATGCTGATAGCAATTGAAATGTGGTGTTTCTTTTGGCCGACTCATCACGTCTACTAGGTCAAGTTTTAATGAGTGCATTTTTGGTACAATGCAATCCATTTGAAAAACACAAACTAATACATCCAAAGTCAACAGCTCTGACACAGAATGTGCCAAACTGAATGTTGTGCGGCTGCTGTTTGTGATAGCAATAGATTGTACAGGTATTTCCATTATTGTCCTACTCTTGTATATCTGCCTGCTTTTCTCCTCCCTTTCTCAGCTGCTCTCTTCTTTCAAAACTTTGAATTTCAAA